ATCCATAGCTAGGTCGTACAGCCGTTTGTTGATGCTAGCAAGTCGAATGAGACGAGCCATGTACACTGAGTGCATTAGGGCCGTGATGGGTTTGTCAAATACAAGACAATATCCAAGAATTTGCATCAACAGCTCATTGGATAAGGCTAGAAATTGCGACGGGACGATATTGGTTTGCGTCATTTCCGCTGACATTTCGTGAGACTTGGAAGAAAAGACGCCTTGAAGGGCTCGTATAGGCTCTGTAATTTTTTCTGATGTGCTATGCTGTGAAGGTCGAGATGTCGAATGAATGAAACAAAACGGTGTTTGATTGAGATTGCTGGTGGGTTGCTTCTCGGCTCGCACGGTGAAAGAACTACACCCGTGGGAAAGAGGTTTATATGTAGTAGAGGGATGGGCACGCCCTTTGTGCACTGTGTGCATTCACCCAAAGCCTAGACGGACGTCCAATGTGAAAGCTCGTTCAGCGTCCGCAGGGTTGACTTTGTTTCACTCGTACGCAATGAACAACTGCGTAGAATACATGGGTAGACCCCAAGTCAATCTGACGCCTTTCAGCAACGTGTCTGCTTGCCTTGACTTCACCGTACCGGGCTCAACTGTGGCTATTCAGATAAATATGTGCTGAATTTGCTCCCTCAGTCTTCCCCAGTCTCTCCGAACAACTACTCACATCAACCACTAAGCAAAACACCACAGCATGAACGGAGACAAAGAAACCAACGCAGGGTCGTTCAAGGATAGTAAGTCTTCCTATTTCACCACCCTCCATCTCGCACGCTAATGAGTTTAGCGAGCATGTGCGATGAGGCCTCCTCCGCTCCTGCATCTTGGAACAGTTTACCAGAGGAGCTGAAACTGGCGACCCTTGGCCACCGACTCCACATTAATGGTAATCTCACGCAATTAACTCATCCCATCCGTGCAACAATGGCTGGCTATGAGGCTTTGCTCCTCACCAGCAAAGAGATGAATAGACTAGCCAAGATTTCGTGGGGAGAGAACCAATTCCTCCTCTCTTGGCCGAGCGCTGGCCTACAATACCCGCGACCGCCCACGTCTCTCGCAGAACAGATTCGGAACTTAACCATCGAGATCTTCGTGGATTGCCGACTAGGTTGGAAAAGGATGAATGAAGACAAATTCCCGTACTCATGGGATGTCCTCCTCGACACCGAAAAGAGCTCCAGACTGCGTCGAGCAACACTGAAGAAGCTTAAAGGGAGCGAGAATCCGGCCGTCGCCTGGCAGTCAGAGTTTCCCGCCCTGAAGGAGCTCACAGTCGAGATTATACTCGCTGGGGATCTAGATGGCTACCACAACGACAGAAACAAGATTGGTAGGATTCACGGCTGCAGGGACAAGGAAAAAATCGAAGAGCACTTCGAAGGCTGTCGTACATATCTCAGCACCCGCAAGCTTACAGTCAAGGTCCGTGGTTTCAAATGCGGAGACTATTCAACCGATGGAGACGCTGGTCCCAACACCAAAGCCTGTCCCAATGGGTGCGCTGAGAGGGTCGCGACATGCTTTGCGGATCTCGTCGAAATCAAGGATTAAACTGAGCGTTTGGACGAGAAGGACGATGGCGAGGTCCTTTGGGGACGTTGGTATGGAACGGTAGTCTTGGAAAAAGTGTGTCGACTTAGTAAGCTCAGAGCTCGTGAGGGGAATAGGACAGTTGGCTAGATGTTTCCACAGCCGACTTGGTTCATGGGAAGAAGTTTAGACGGTCAACAGAACAGTACGTTCATGCCACTGCTGCACTCTTAGCTTAGTGCACTAGGCAGCGCCCGGCTTACACGATACATGCTAGCCCTCACTGTCAAATACCACTTTGCTTCTTCCCTGTGTACCTTCATCGACCGCACTTCCAACCTTTCTGACCACTTCTTTGTCGAAAAAGGCAACACCTAGCTCTTGACTTGTGAACCAGCTCGCCCGGTCCAGGTTTCCAGAGCCTAAGACTAATACTTCCTCGTCAACGATGGTCATCTTGAGATGTGACTGTTGAGGCTCTCCTGCTTCGTTACCCCTCTTCTTGGGTCCACCGATCGGCTCGAAGTATGAGACATGTAGGCGACCGGGCTTAGGAGTCGCCATAGCTGCTTCCTCATCGTTCGAATTGCCACCGTCGTGAGTCAGCTGTTGATAGCGTTTGATGAGCTTCTTGATGCAGCGTGAGGTTGTGGTTCCTGCTGTGACCAACTGTTCGAGTATCATGAGACGTTCGGAGGTCAGAATGCGTACGTCGATGCCGCGTGCAAGCGCTCTGAGTATGGCGGACAGGACAGGTGGCGCAGTGACATTTGGCGTCTGAATACGGATGCTTCTCTCAGCCTTTGCGAAGAGTGTGAGTATGAACACGTTCAGAGGTGTTGGCGGAGCTCGAAGGGTGTCTTGGGCTCCAACGAAACTAAAGCGCGGATTACGACGGTGTGGGCTGGGAAGGAAGACGGTATGTATACTGCGAGCCGATAGTAGTGTAGACGATTTCAGCGCACCGTGAAGCTTTACCGCAGCGCTGTCGGGAACGTCGAGACTAGTCGGAACATCCTCTCGCCGCTCCCAGAAAGTACGATAGAATTTGAGGAACTGTTCGACAACAGGTCCAGTAAGGGTGACGGCACCCTCGAACCATTCTTCCCAGCTGATGTTGCAACTTGGTAACACTGCCGTCTTCCGATCGACGATGATGAACTTGGGATGCATGACACTGAATGGTAATATGAATATAGACTTGATCTCGAGGTCCAGTCCATTGAGCTCAGACGGGTCAGGCAAGCCCAACTTCTTCACCCATGCTGAAGGCGGATACGTCTGTCCTGAAGTGGCCTGCTTGTGAAATAGCTTCTGAAAGACCGAGCTGGAAGAAAAGCAAAGTCGAACTCTGATCTTGTCCGTCCCTCTCCTGACAGCCTTGTCGGAGAGTCTTCTCAGAACCTCGTTCAGTGTTTCTAGAGTTGTCGATCTAGCCCAGAAGCAAGTGACCAGAATAAGCTCGCGGCTAGTAGACTCGAGGAGAGGCACTAATGAGTCGTAGATTGCAGATCCAGTTCCAGTCATGAAAGTGTCGAGATTAGAGGTGGTGATCAGGGACCGCGGATAGCGGGCATAGTAGCTTGGGTCATCGGTCGCATTGGCCGGCGCCGCAGCATCTAGGGCTGAGATGAAGGGCTCGTTGAAGCTAGATACGACAGGGGATGGTGTTGTCGGTGCCATGGTCCTCGTATTCGAGATTCCCGTTCAGAGCAGCGATGCAGCAGTGATGGAGAGGGAGTGGTAGCGAGATTCGACTGTTGATGGATGACGTCGGGTCGGACCTGTCGCGACTGCCATGAGGTAGACGCGTCAAGACTAGGCCCCATCCGGAAGGCTCGGCAGGGATCATTGGGGAAGCTTCAATCCCCGCCAAAATTTCGGAAGCTCTTCGCAGTAGACAACATCACCAACACCCCCGCGATATCACACGAACGCAGCCTCGAATAGCTTAAAACCATTGGCTGTAACCGGATCGATCGATCATATACTCCACTCCTTCGAGACAGAACGCGCCGTCCGCACAGGCGCATCCTTCACCATGCCAATCTCCATCCTCCCACCCAGCGCACCTCTCCCACCACGGCGCGATGCGCAAGACGACTACGACGACTCCGATGTCGAAATGGAAGACGATGACTTCGCGACTTCCGGCTCAAAATCGATCGTGACGCCCGGCGAACAAATAACCTCAGATCCTCAATGGATGCGCGGCCACGGCACTTACATTCCAAGTCTCCCTCCGTCCTCCACCACGATAATATCGACCGTCGCCGGTACCCTGCACAAGACCAACAAGCTACTTTCGGTACAACCGCTGCGCGCCCGATACCAACCCGAGATTGGCGACTTGGTCGTAGGACGCATAATGACGGTGGGAACGAAGAAGTGGAACGTGGACATCGCAGCGCCAATGCACGCGAACCTGCCTTTGTCGAGTATAAACTTGCCCGGTGGAGTGTTGCGACGCAGAACGACAGTAGACGAATTGAACATCCGGACATTCTTCCAAGAAGGCGACTTGCTCGTCGCCGAAGTGCAGAGTCTGCACCAAGACGGCACAGCATCCCTCCACACGCGATCGCTCAAATACGGAAAACTGCGGAATGGCTTATTTACCAGTCTAAGTGGCGCAGGCGGTGGCATACTGAGTCGCAAGGGTGGTGTAGTGAGGAGTAGGCGGCAAGTGTTCACGCTGAACACCGCGGCAGGGGAAATTGACATTGTACTCGGCGTCAACGGATACATCTTCATCAGCAAACACATTGCGACGAATGCGGACCCGAAAGAGGTGGGTATCAACAGGCTGGACGAGAGCGTGACCGAGACGCTGTACTCCAGCCAGAACGACGAGATCGAACCAGCTGTTATGCGGGAGATTACCAGGGTCAGCACATTGATCAGGGGATTAGTAGCATGTGGCGCGAAGGTGGATGAGGACATGATCGTCAAGGTATACGACGGCGCGGTTGAGCTTGAGGCAGAAGAGCAAAGTCTAGGTGGTGTGGAGAGGGGCATTGGCGCCAAAGGTGTCGTAGAAGCCGTGCTTGGACGTATGGAGGTGGAGGCCGCCGGCTGAGGATAGACGAAGTTCGAGGCATCCACGAATATTCAGAAGTAAAAGACATGAGCATGTCATGCCGCTCAAGCATCAGATCTACGCGTCCTGACGGGTTGTACCTGCCGAGTCGTCAACGAGCAGCTGCAGCAATCATTACGCTGTAACATGTAGTCACTTGCCAGAAGTGTTCTAGCAACAGCACTCACGGAGCGCACACAGATCGCGCACGCCGAACAGAATTGCAAAGATAGTCAATCATACATTACTCATTGTGCGGTGAACACATAATACCCCATCTAAAATCGTATATGTAAAACATCGGCCCTGTATAAAGCGAGCGGAGAAAAAAAAATCTCGACATGAACAAAACTCCGAAAGTCGGTAGGCACACTGCCAATCACCCTTCCATGACCAGCAGGCCCTCCCTCTCCAACCTCCTCAGACTGTCGATATCACCACCGGCCTCTATAACAGCCTTCATAGCCGCTCGACTAAGCTTCCTGCGCTTATCGGCGGCTTCCTTCTCTCGTCGTGCCTTTGTCTTGCTTGAACCGCTGGGTGCGACACCTGTGAGGATTTTGCGGCTGTCGTCTGGCGTGAAGTTGACGAAGCCGACTCCGCCACTGTTTACGCTCGTCTGCCGTGAGGACTGCTGGGAAGAATGATTAGACTTGCGTCTTGACGATTGGCCGGAGCGATGATGGCTTGATGACTTGGAACGATGGAAGCGGGGTTCGACGCGTGGTGAGGGAGAGCGCGAGACTGGTTGACTGGTGGACAGCACTTGAGGTTGCGCGTAATGGTGTGATGGTCTGTTGTACATGGCACCATAGCTAGCCATATCGAACGAGGCCGAGGCTCTGGGGGTCGAATAGCTATCGTTCATAGCGCCGAAGTCGAATGCGGCTGAGTCGTAAGAGATCCCTAGTCCTTCTAATCTCACATTCTGGCTCGTAGATCGCAGATTGCTTTGACCAAAGCTGGTAGAGTATGGCGGCTGAACGGTGGGGTCGTTCTCATTCCACCAACCTGCTGTCTCAAGGCTGTTGCTAGTGTCGCACGAGGCTGAGGAACTAAGATCCAAAGCCGGCGAGGTGTCAGAGCCCCATGTTGTCACGGGTAAGTGGAGAGAGGAAGGCGGGGTCTGCAAGGCTGAGAGAGCCGCACTTGACGTGCTAGAAGAGCAATAGGCGAGTCCCATGTTAGCGTTGAAGCCGCCGTCGGAGTTGCTGGAATTTCCCATTGCTGGCGATGCAGATGGAGTCAATTGGTAGTTCGTATAGTTCGACCTGTCGTTGGGCAGGCTCGAATAATCATTAGTGTAAGCCTGATGGTGATTATGGGCAACACCGCCATTGTTGCGCTCTTGCTGATCCAGATTGGATGAAAGCGGGGGCGAAGCGATACCATGTGACGAGGCTCTCGCGAAAGATTCTGTCGGGCTGTTCGTCTTGCGAGTCCACGCATTCGTGATGGACGATTGGAAATGAGATGATTGCATCATCTTGGCCGAGACTGAAGGATGTGGTCTCTTCGTAGACTTGGTAATGCCGCGATACTTCGGTTGACCGTGAGAGGAAAGAGACTTTTTGACAGATCGTCCAGAAGGGTGGGGTCGAGATGTAGGAGGCTGAGACGTGGACCTTGAGTGATTTCTCTCCAGCTCAAAGAGATCTTCGAAGCTTAACAACTCGGAGTCGCTACGAGAATCAATGCCGGAAGATGATGTAACATAGAAAGAGGAGGCAGGATCATCAGATCGAAACGAGGTTGCGTTTTGTGCGTACTTTTCGAGAGCCTTGTGCCAAGCAGCCTGTGTTTCCCGATCGAGTATAGGCTCAGGACCAAAGCATTCGCTTCCATTTGACAAAGACGATTCGAAATGATGCGTCGTATTATCTGAAGTGGATTGCTTCGGCGTGCGGTCGTTGAAATGATTGAGTAAATCTGTCTCGACATATTGTTCGAATAAGCGGTCCAGGTCGACTGCTTCGACCTCTTTGTCGCTGGTCGGCCGTATTGGCATAGTGTCGGTAGAGTGTTGATGTTATGGCGATGAAAGGAAGTAGGTTTGCAGCGTATTTGGTTATGTTGACCGACAATGGATAGGCGAGCGAGTGACGTTGAAGGATGTAGCAGAATTGGTGGCGAGTAAAGGCGATAAGTAACACGGTACTTGTACCTGACTGATAGATACGCTGTGGTGGTTACAGGCCTGCACGAACTACTTCTGTAACGTGCCAATGATGCACCGTAACAAACATGCTAGACAAACCTAGACTAGAGAGATTCAATTTTGCATCCAAATATGGCAAAATACCTTACCGGCCATTTCCTACTCGGTGTACATTCCAGCTATACTTAGCGTAGAAGGTCGAATTGGGTTGACCCGGGGTTGGCATGGGGGGACCAAGCCCCAACCCTTTGGTTTCAGGTAGCTTTGAGGCGTTCGCACCGTCCGTGCCTCACAACCTCTCGAGCCCGCGACTAGGGTAATTGAACATGTCGTAATGATGGTAGGTGCGTGCCCATGCAGCCACATACCAGCCGTTGGGTATTCTCCCTAGGTACGTTGCCCATGCCGCAGGTACCCGTAATACGACAATCGGGTTGTAGGTGACGTTCTTTGTTGTAGTGTCTTTGTGTATACCGAAGCTCGACCTGCATATGAGTGAGAGGTAGCGACCTGAGGGTTGTTTCAGAGGTAGAAGTCGGAGGGGTGCCTGAGCAACTTCAAGAGGGCCACAGCTCAGATTGTTGAGTAGACCACGTGGATTACGAAATCTTCAATGCGACGATACGGCCTCGCCTGTTCAGTTACCGAAAGCCTGGTATCCGGCAAAGACAGATGCCGCAGACAGTTTCGAATCGTCGATTTCGAAGTAGGTCTCTAGATTCTGAGAAGTGGATCGATGGCCAAAAACAGATGCAGGAACGGGGATTTCCAATCGGCCAGAATGTAGCTAGTGCAGGAACCAGGGCCGTGGATCAAAGCCAGTTGAGCGTAACAACGTGAGATCTGCAGCACGGTCAATCTGCCCAGGTGATGTGCACTCCGGGGCTTGCACGTTGGGGGAGCCGCAAGGACTCAGTATGGGTGGACCTCCAACTTCACGAGGTTTAGAAACAATTTGAAACTGTATCATAGGATCGGGATGATAGTGTTTCGATGTGCGACAAGACCGCCAGGCCTCGCTTTTGTTCTTACCAAATTGTGACGGCATTGTCTTCAGTCTCATGTGTGTGGTTTGATCCTGGGCATATGGCCAATGCAGAGACTCGTCATCCTAATTCAAAATGGACTGCGCTTTTTGAGTAACTGACCGGCGTCGGTTGCCAAGAACCTGGTGGTGGAGGTGATGCCAGAAATTACGCGTTCACGATGGCAGCGTGGTGTTGAGGCTTGCCCAGGCGCGCACGGGCAGTTAGCGCGTCGTACGAACAGCTGTGGGTCAGCCCCGGACATGGGCAGCTCGCGAGTCTCTGGAGTGACGACTGTACCAGCACAGCACCGACGAGATCGACGCTCCCATTGTCGTGTTTGCTGTTGCAGTTCTCCTGCCTAGTTTCGCACCCTACACCATTGCCATGGATCCCGACGCGCCCATGGCCAATGAGCCGGAGCCAGGAGTCTTCCGTTGGATCATGGGCTTCCTTCTGGTCGGCGCATGCTGGGGGCTTACAACACCGTTCATGCGCAAAGCTGCCATGTGAGTCTCAAGCTCCGTTATGGACTCTGTTCTGTCTATTTCGGCCTGTCCAGAACGCGTTCAGAGCTAATTCGCATTCTAGGAACTACACGCCGCCCCAACGCCCCGCCCTCACCGATCCAAACAACTCCTGGCTGAAGAAGAAAGTCTTGGGCGTACTCTACGCCGTAATTGGCGTCTTGAGCAGGCCAGCGTATGCGATACCGCTATTACTGAACGTCACCGGCAGTGTGTGGTTCTTCATATTGATAGGCAAGGCGGAATTGAGTCTCACGGTGCCAATCACCAACTCACTCGCCTTCCTCTTCACCGTGTTGGGAGAGTGGTGGGCAGAGAAGAAGGTCATCAGTCGAGGTACGTTGTCTAATCGTGTATGTACGAGGGATATGGGCTAACACCAAACAGACACCTGGATAGGCATGGCCTTTGTACTCGGCGGGATCGGATTATGCGTCCAGAGCAAATCTTGAACAATCTACCTAGAATTCTACATGGTCGTTACCAGTCCCTCGCGAGCCTGTTGTTCGTATCCGTCCCGTTCGCTGCTGTTACTCCCTTGGACAATCTCGAAAACCCTTGTTCTGGTGGCTGCAACCAGTTCCTCTCGTCGTACTTCTCCTCGCCCTCAATGACGTGGAACGTGTAGATGTTGCGGCTCTTGCTGCTCGTATTCTTTTCCGACTTGTGGAGTATGTTACCATGGATGAGCACTAGAGTCCCGGCCTTGACCTCACCCATGTCGTATCTTTCCTCCTTCTCGATCATCTCGTACTCCTTCTCGCCGTTTGTTTCCTGCTTCAAGCTTTTTGGAAATCTGGCGCCCTCATTGTCGATGAAGCCCGTGCCGTTGCCTGTTCTTACAAACCTCTTCTCAATGGCAGCACGCTTATGACTCCCAGCAGCGAAGCTCAGACATCCATTCTCCTGTGTCGCATCCTCGAGCGCATACCACCATCCAACCGCGCTTGGCGGATCCGTGTACAAAAAGGTGCTATCTTGGTGTGGTGGCACTGCGCCGCCTATCTCTGGCTGTTTGCAGATGACCATGGATTGCAGGACACGAGGGTCGCGGAAGCCGAGGGAGGAAGCGATGGCGGCATTGCGGGCCGACAGGGACATGCTGCGGAAGGAGGGTGAAAGCTCGTGGAGGTAGTGCCCGATCTTGTTGATGGCGCGGTGTTTGGGTTTTGTCAGCGAGCCAGACTTATCGAAGGCGTCTGCTCAGATGTCAGTGCATGGTCTTGAGTTTCCGAACGCGCTACGTACCCTCTTCAAAGAAGAACCGCACCTTATCGCCGGATTCTAAGAAGTAGCTGTCTCCAACGTGATCGGCGCCGTCGTCGCCACCAGTTGAGAACTTGGTCATGGGATGGTCGTCGAGTGAGAATTCGTTGAGCATCTTGTTTGTGTCTTCCACCAACTGCTTGACCGTTTCTTGCGACAGAGCATCCGGTATCAGTAGGTAGCCGTTCTCATTGAAGAAAGCGAGCTGTTCGGGCGTGAGCCCTTCGGCGGTTTGCGCAGTCATGGCCGGATGAAGAAGTGGGAATACGTATACACTGTAGTAGGAAGGATTTTGCAATGACAGCTATGTACAAGTGACTGTCCCCCAGCTATCGCGTGCAGGCCGTGGGTAAGCGTCGGAGTTGGCCGTAGCCTGGCGCGATGCCATGTGCTGCCCCGCTATCATCCCGCGTTGTCGGGCTTAATTCCGCTCAGAACCAAGCCAGCCAGCCTCATCCCAAACGCGTCGCGATGTGAGCAGTCCTCGACCCATCCATCGCCCCCATCCACGGCCCCATCGACGATACCCACCACTAGCCATCAAAGATCCGAGCATCTGGTCACAGGTCCTCCAACCCGCAGTGCCACGAAACGATAGCTCGTCCTGCTGGCTCATCCCCAGCAATAAAGAGGCACGACCGGGCCCTGGCTTCAATACTACGCGACTTATAACCACGCTAACGACGACTGTGGTCACATCGCAATCCCGAAAGACAGGAGACGACCACACCGAGATGCAGGGAGATGAAATGTCGGGTCGTGTAACTCCAGAATAGCTCACCCAGGCAGCAACGACGCCATGACCTCGACCCACGAAGGCTGTCACCCTTGCGTTTGCGGCTCTTACGACTCTGCACGTGCACACTTCCCACACCGAGGAGACGACTGATGGCTGAAACAACACGTGGAGGCTCAGCGGGCTCGCATCCCTCCGCCCGTAGCTGGCCCTTCACCTAGCCATGCATGACATAGGGCTGATGTGTAGCGGGGAACGCCCTCAGGTCCGGAGACAAACAACCTCATCGTATCCCGACTGCATGTACCTGGCTGCATGAAACAACAGGGTCTCGGGTATATGGAAGTCATGGCTCCGAGGTCTCACCGTCTCTACTAATGTTGTCGAACACAACTCGAGGGATGCGATGAACAAGGGCCTGCTGGAATACGCTACTTTCTCCTCCATGTGCCCTGCGGAATCATGTCTCCTCGTTCAATCGGGTGTCCAGACTTCCAAGGTTCGCTTCCTCAGTCACGTTTACACGACAGCCTGGGCGTCAATACTCAAGATTGGTCAAGGCTATCGCGGCTGATGGCAAAATGGGAAATACCGCTCAAATCGACTTGCGAATAAAGGTAGCTCCT